TTTTTTTTTTTTTTTCCTTTGGAACAGCTAATATTAGGGTTGTCTCTGAGATTACCAATCACCACACAATCTTCTGTGCTGTCCTACAGTTCTGGGAGAGTCTGATTCTGTCCCTTCCTTCTTCAGCTTTTTCAGCTGTCTGAGTTATTTTTTCCTGAATTAGGAACACTTTCTATCTCAATAACTTCTGCAGTCCTTTCAAGTTTTCTCTACTTATACATAAAGATTTATATTGTAGTAACATTTGCCCTGATAAAGGATACATGAATTCCTCTGTTCTATTCTTGGCTTTTTATCCATCCTCTGGTGTGATCATTATTTGTCTCCTGGTTTTAAAACTATCAGACCAATTAGAAAAGAAAAAAAAGTAGGGATACAATGCAGTGAGTCATGGCATTGTCTGATTATCAGGAGGATAACAATACTTTTTTCATGTTGAACTGAATTCTTATATTTGTCTACTTCTTTCCTGAATATTATAAACTTTAAAAAAAAATCTATCTGATCATATAATAACTCTTTACATGGAAATTTGTGTTTGTTTTTTCATTTATTCTTGTGTCTGGGGGTTGTAATGGATGTCATGTTTTTCTGCTTATCACTTTAACATGTGTCTTAACAGTTTCTTTTCAGTCTCATAAGGGGATTTTCATAGAAGAAGTCTGCAGCTCCTCTCTGTAACATCCTTACATCAAATCTAGAAAGAAAACTAATTTAGAAAAACATATATACAGACTGTAATGAAGAAATCTATTGTTGAGTCATTACCAGTGCCAAAGATAGTACTAACCATATATGAGACTATTGGGATTTCTTTCTTGTGTTTTGCCTTGTTATTATGCTCTTCTGGGCTCTCCCACCACAAATTGTAGCTTCTTCATATTGTCAAGTTAAAGAACTGCTAGAGAGGTCTACACACAGCCTAAAAATGGTCATTTTGGGTGTGGGAGGAAGCAAGTAGTACTCTCAAATGACACATAACTTCTATCAGTAATTTTGCAAACTTCATCAGTACTGGGTAATAATGTCCTGTGATTTTAATCGACTGTTTCCAATCCATTAAAAAATAATTGCGGATTAGTCCACCCATGTGCATTCAGATATAGCAGTAAATGGAGAAGAAGATAAAGGATTTTTTTGCTTTTCTTATTCTGTAAGGGTTTTGATCCAGTGGTAGAAGGATGGGAGGAAGATCACCTACTTCCTGAAAAATCAAGGCATTTCCAGTGAAATGGGAAAACAGGAAAGTGTGCAAAGGTTGGGAGAAGAGAAGAGAAGAGAAGTTGTCTGGTTCTCTAGGGGTCAGCCACACTCTGATCAAGTGATTAGATTTGGTTTGTTACTGCTATCTATGGAGCAAGCCTTGCATCCATCTTACAGGCCAGTTCACTTGAAAATTTATTTTGAAAAATGGCTGTGTTTTGTTCTGCTGTGATGCATGTAGAGAAAATTAATATAGAGTCCTTCTTGCTAAATATCTACATCTGCTGTGGCTCATCCCTAGCTTCCTGATGAGCGTACAACTACCAAATATTATCTGAAGAGTGGCTTGCTGGCAGCTGAATGGTATGGCCAAGGATTGATTGCTAAGCAGTATCACTTGTCAAAATATATGAGCAATGTTAATGTTACTCTGCATTCCACTTTTTGTCTGCAGTCTTCAACCCATAAGTAATGCAATGAAATTGTAACAGCTGAAGGAATATAGCAAGCTTTGTTACACTGAATGAAAATGGCATACACAGGGAGCATCTGTCATGTTTTTAAAACCAGTAGTTACGGTGTTTTTCTCATTATTCAAATTGCTTTCAGATAGTTCTGTATTTCTCTATCAAATCCTACAGTTATTTGTGAATTATAAAATACTAAGACGATAAACGTATTAGACGTTCAGTTGTTTGTGATACCAGAAGACACTGGAAGAGTAACAAAATATTTGCATGACATTAATACAATACAGCATGTCAGTTCTTGGCAGCAAGACCTTATTTCAAGCAATGTTTTTGTTTACTAGGTTATTATAGTAAACATTTCATAGATGCTTTTTCTAAGACAAGCTTTGAGCATTGGAAATTGAGATGTGGAAACAATGTCTACTCTGAGATGACAATCTGTAAATGTGTGTTTATCTTAAGACAAATAGCTACCCTAGTGATGGCTTACCAGTTCCAAGATTCTGTTTAAAAAATCTGTAATTTCACTGAATGCTGGATTTGTACATAGCGTGAAAGTGGCTGTTTTCTTTCCATGGGGAGAAGTGGCAAGGCGTTTTTCCAGAAGGACTAAATGTATCTTGTTTTCTGACCTTCATTCTATTTTATCTCTATTTTTGATAAGCTGGACAAAATAAAATATATTAATATTAAATGTTTTATCACCAGGTTTAATACCAGCTCGGTCTTTGTCCCGCAGTCCAAGTACACTCGTGGCTCTTTGAGGACTTAAGCAATGGCATAGTCTTCTTGAAACCAGTGGGGCTGTGAGTGAAAACGTGCCTATGTTCCTTATCTTCAGAGAAAGTAGTTTTACAGTGCCCTTAGAGCTTTTCCAGATATACTTTCGTAGTTTCATAGCTGACCCCAACTGACCAAAAGGATATCCCATACCACATGATGTAATGCTCAGCAAATAAACGTGGGGCAACAAGAAGGAACATTTGGAGTGATGGCATTTGTCTTCCCCAGTAACCATTAGGCATGATGGAAGCCTGCTTTTCTGGAGATGGCTGAACACCCGCCTGCTAATAGGAAGTAGTGAATTAATTCCTTGTTCTGCTTTGCTTGCGTGCGCAACTTTTCCTTTACCTATTAAACTTTCTTTATCTCAACTCATAAGTTTTCTCACTTTTACTCTTTTGATTCTCTTCCCTATCCCACTGGGGAGGAGTGAGCGAGTGCCTGTGTGGTGCTTATACCGGTTGGGGTTAAACCATGACACCATGTTGAATTCTCTCTCGTTCCTTGCAGGATGGAATATGCAGTTTAACTTGTCACATAAATCCTACCAAGTTCCACTATCCTAAATTTTGACTATGGCAGTTCGCTAGATAGACATATTTATTATGATCTGAAATGAGACAGATCTAAATACTTTTTCTCTACATTTTGTTCAAGCCAAAATCTGAAATGTTTCCTCTTCCGTTTATCTCTGTCTTCAGAAAAACATCCTTTGTCCATTACTCCTCTTCACCAGTGTTTACTGAGAGTCCTCCTGATTTTCACCAGCATGGATTTGTGGAAGTGTGATGTTATTAGACACGGCAGTCTGTCTGCCTGACAGTACCACCAGAGATGAACCTGTCAGGAATGTCTCCGCCAAAAAGTATTGCTCAAAGGGCTTTTTGTCAGATTACTTGACACTTGCTCATGAACTATGACTAACATTGCCTCTTAAAACACTCTGTATGTTTATTTTATAAGCCGTATGGCCAAAATTGCCCTAGTGTTGTATAGGTGTGAAAGAAAGCCTGGATAGATTTAGTTACTTTGGACTACTGAGCTTTGCAGTAAAAAGTTTCCATGCTAATGTAATTACTGTATTGTGGTTTATATAATTTATCCCCCTTTCCCCTGGTTATTTCTAGATACTTTTTATCTTTCTTTTGAAAAAATGATGTTTTCACGGTAAAAAATAACAGCTAAATAATTAGTTCTGTAAAACTATTGTTGTGGATATTATGCCTGAAACCAGATTTGAAATATGTGTCTGCTAGGAGCTGAGAGATTTCACCTAAGGGTTTTGCTAATGGATCACTGGAAGCCTGTGAATATATTTATCTTTCTGCTTTTGTGGGAACTTTGCAGAATAGTTCATAGAATCTGAATTAGTCAACCTCACTAATGAGTTAGACATTTTTTCCTTTGTAGTCCCTTTAACACTTTGTAGCTGTTAAAAATGGTATGTATACAAAATAGTAGGTAAGAACCTTTCAGATTAATAAAATATTTAAATGTTGCTGGGCTATCAGTTTCCCTTTACACGAGCTCTCATTCAGTGAAGTGATGCCTGTGGTAAGCATGACACATGGTAAGCAAATGTAAATCTCCTCTGAGCACAGTTTTCTCAAATTATTATTTCATTTTATAAAAATATTTTGCTGTAGTTCTGCTGTAGGTTTCTCGAAGAAGTAGTAACCAAATTCCTGGGTGACTGTTCTTGGAAAAGTAATGTGGGAATTGTGCAGAGAGGATGATGCAGCCTGGGTGTTTAAAATACAATGCGGGTCTGCCTTTTGTGTGCCCTTAATCTGAAACCGGGTAATGCGTCAGTATACATTGACTTGTTATTCCGCAGTCTGATAAATAATTGTGTGGACTTGTTCTTGGCGGTGTGTTTTCTTGGGCTTTTTGTCTTACAAGCAGTGATTAAAATATCATTGGATAACATGCAGTAATCATGATATAAACCATGCAGAGCTTTCAATTTCTTTCTTCTGACGTAAAATATTCCATCTGGGGAAAAGATGCAATGTAATACAAAGGAATGACAAAACAAGAACATATCAAGGAATGTACACACAAGCCTGTTTCCTAGCTCAATTTAAATGAACCCAGGCATGAACCAGGAGAGTCTGAAGATGGCCGTGGGCTCTATGCTGATTTTTACCTTACAACATACAGAAAGATGATCTCTGATGCTAAAAGGTGGTTATTTTTGGCAACCTGTATCAATTTCCTATTCACACAGCAACTGGTGGCAACTAAAATTAATCCTGTTTTAGTACCAGCTAAGAATCTGGTTACATTTGGCACATGAACAGCATGCACAAATAAAATTTGAGTTCCCGTGTTCTGCTGTTTCATTTGAGCCCACTCATCAAGCTTAGTTTGCTGCCATTTGAAAGCTATTGAAAAGCCATTAACTGGCAGGACTGTGAGAGCCGCAGTGCAGCAGCACACCTCAGTGCTGGAAGAATGTGGCTGCAAGTGCACACCAATTACATCTTTCTATTCCTAGGGATGTGGGATTAGGAGCGGTGTCAATCAACTGTGCTACAATAGCACGTGCAGTAGTCATGGTTCAAGATGCACAGAGGTTTATCATAACTCCAGCAGTCGGGTGAGGATGACTTGGAAGCCTCTGCAAGATCCTGGAACAGGAAACTACATTAAATAATGTATTCTGAGGTATACTGGATACCTGAGGAAGGGCTCTAAATAATGCATTTTCTGGGCATGACAGTTGTAGCAGAAGAGAATGCTGAAACCTGTAGCAAGACTACAGCCTGAGATGAAAGAATGTCTCATTACCATTTTATCAAATGCTGTAAGTAGCAAAATGGTTATTTTGATTTTAAAACTGTCTTTTCATTTTCTGAGGTGTGTCTTTTCAATGCATATGCAAAAAGTCGAAGGCAGATGCTGCATGATGTCAACGTGGTAGCCGGGGAGTTGTTACTTTGCATGTGAATATGCAGGCAGAGCACAGTGTTTCTTTTTCTCATCTGTTCAGAGGCAACTTCATTGTGTGTGTGATAAAGCTCTCATTCTGAAGTTCATACTGATCAGCTTTTAAAACTTTTGTTTAAATTAATCACCAAAGAAAATAATATCCAAAAAGAAATGTCATTCATAGTATTATGTTAAAGATGCCTATAAGGACAACCTCGGACATGGCTCTTACACTTTACAAGGGTAATGGAAATGAGAATAGCTTCATAATTATGAGCACATCTCATTATCTGTTGTAGATCAAATGTTCATATCCCCTCCTTATCAGAATATTAAGCTATTCGGTGTGACAGACTTAAAAAATAATAATGAACTTTTAACCTTGAATCATGCCGGCTGCCTCCTTAAGGAATTAAATTAGGATCTATGCTAAATGTGTTGATTCAGTGCAGAACAAATTCCTAGCAGCATTTTTTTTTTTAATCTGCTTATCAAGGCTGCTTGTCTTCCTAGCTGCACATTTTTCAAGCTTTTTGGGTTTGCCTTTTAAATCATCCAGGGTCTGAGTGGAAATTGCTGGGTTTACATCAGAAAAATTAATTATTGTTGAGATTCTTGTTTTGGACAGCCAGTAGTAGTTAGTCATGGATATTTTTTGCTGCAGGACTTTGAAAACTTCAGACTTCTAGTATTATGTCACTGTTTTTACATGATAAATAGCTGATTGCTGTAAAAGGTTTTCTCTCCAGATTGTGGTCTTTGATGACTTAAGTGTACCAAGGACATTTCTTAAACTATTTTAAAAATACTGTCTTACAGGTAAGAAATGAGTGATGTGGTTCTTTGATGTTCTAATATGAAATTAAGGTGCCCTGGAAATATTTTAGTAATTAAAGGAAAAATGATTTGTGATAGTTTCCTCTTATCTGAATTCAATTGGACTTGTGTATGGAACTGCTTTTAATATTGGGGGAATTAAAAAGCCTAAATTCCCTGTTCATGCAGAGAAGCACAGATTAGTTTTACTGCATAGTTTTAAAGGTGCATTCCAACAATAAGTCTTTGAGCTTGTCATGAGATTTGATAAATGCAAATGATGAATTTGAGGCATAATAACTATCTTGAAGATGTCAGAAGAGTATTGTTTGGTCTTTATTCACTTTGGAATTACTTTCATAAAGTGAAACTGCAGCAAATGTATATGGGTGTGTGTGTGTTCAGTAGTACATTAAATATGTATACTCTACAATGAAACTATAGGTTCCTTAATTGGAAAGAGATGAGGATGACCATGAGGTTCTCTTATTAAAAGAAAGTGAATTATGACTACTGGGGATGTTCATTGCATGGGTTAGAGGCCAGGGATGGAGGACTAAAACACCACAGAGGGAAAGGTGAATGTGCAGCATTAGTTTTGGCTATGCTATTTGTTTCCTCTTTTACAAATTTGGAATTTTGTAATTAGGAATTTCTCACAAAATCAGGATATTTTATCACATAGCATTTTTCCTGCCTAGTAGTGTGCTTTGGAATACAGTGGGTGCCGGCTAGAGCCTGCCGCAAGGTCTTTTTGCTGCCTGTGCTTCTCCATACAGAACTGGCAAAAGCGCTTCCATCTCCACCCGTAATTATTGAAGGAGAAACACTTCTGTCATGCATCCATTTGACTTAAAATGACAATAGTGTTGCTGATGTTTGTGTTTGGCAGACAGATGGGATCAAATATGGGCCAGGGCTGCATGCAGGGTGGCAGCACCAGCAATGTTCTGAGATCTGCTGAGAGCAGCTGAACCTCACAAGGGTTGGAATGTGACGCTTCACACCCTGCTGTGTTTTTTAAATCCATTTCACTACTGATTCCTGTATCAGAAGGAAAAGACATTGAACTCTGTGTTTGCAGAGCACTGTCTCGTGGTCTGCTTTGGGGAGAGGGGAAGTATCTAAAAGATACAAATTAATGGTAGTTTAAAGCTAGTATTTTATGAACTGTAGTGCTATGTGCCTGGCTTTTGCATGTGTTTGCACTTTGCTTTTTTAATCTCTGCAGAGATTAAGTGTGGAGATCTGGGCTGAGAAGGGCTATAGCTATTCTCCTATGGTGTTAGTACAATTTTACTAATATTCTTTCATTTTTTTAGTACACTGCTCCCAGTGGAGGTTGTGAACGTGAGACATACTCGTATGTTGTCATAGGATCTTTCAGGTTGGAAGGGTCCAACCTTGAGAGGCCTCCAGTCTGCCCTCTTGCTCTAAGCAGTGGCAGCTGCATGGTCAGACCTGATTGGGGCCATGCCCAGTGAGGTCTTTCATCCCAGTAATACTCTGGAATAAGGCCTGCTGCAGCCATCATGTTGTCTTCAGCTGGCACCTGCAGCATTTGAAACACAAGCTGTATGCGTGTCTGGCTGTTTGAGCGGCTCATGTTGTCACTACTAGTGCCCATCTTCTTTTTGCAGCCAAGTATCGTTGCTGCCGAGAGCTGTTCCTGTCTGTGCTGGTAGCTTCTCCTTGGCAATCAGCTGGCATAAGCTACTTAGAAGAGAGAACAGTGGTATGTAGGCGAGTACACATGTTATCTGCCAGCTGCTGGGTGCTATTCTATCTTGATGATTTGTGTGACAGACTGTACAAATGAATGTAATTTTGCAAATTAGGAAACACCTTGCTGCTATCTTCTCTCCCTTGTATATCTAGTTATGACATGAATATAATAATTTACATGTTATGGCTGTGGTTTTCCACCTGTGCTCTGGACTTCCTTGGAGGGATCTGCAAAGGTAAATAAGAAAACCGGTACTTTAGTCAGGAGGCTAAAATTCATTACTCAAGAGTCTGATTTCCACTGCAAATGCTGTAGAGGCCCATAAATGCAAACAGAATTAAAACCTTGCTAAGGAGTTATAGTCACACCAGTTGAAACTCTGAGCTATGTGAATTTATCTAAATATTAGGATAATCAAATCTGAACATCAGAATCTACTTCCATTCTTTCTGGTTATCTCTTGTTTCCAATTCCTTTATCTCCTTTGTATGAATTATGAAACATGGAATGGTGCTTTGTTACAGACCAATGCTTACAAAGATGTGGGATGTTTATTGGTGAATTTAAATCAGGATTTGAAACAAGATATTAAAGAAATATAATACTTCTCTCCAACATCTATCCCTTATTACCTTCAGCATCTCAATACAAGGCAAGGATTGTCCATGAAGAAAATTAATCAGACTGGAAGATGCATTGAAAGACTTGGCCTTTGAATTTTACTGTATCCTCTTCAGATATCTTGTAGTGTGTACTGATTTATTCCTTCTTTTTGCTGCCTCCTAATCATAGTATTTAAAAAATCCATATATTACAGGGGTCTTTCCTTATATTAAAAAAAAAAAAAAATCAGTCTGCAATGCCAGAGACCTTTGTCTTGAAAGGCTGAAGCCAGCAGTAATGTATTTACAAATGCCATCTTGAGTATTTTTCACACTAAGTCAGAGTATTTGATAACAAAATCACTGTCATATTTATGAAAGAAGAGTACATTCTGTGGATTATTGTTATTATTTCCATTTTATTTAATTTTACCACACTTTTCCATAGCATGCCATTTTGGTGCATGTTCTGTTTCAATTAAATTACTAGTTGGATGAGCATTTCGGCCATGGTGGTGTCTGTCCCTTTTCACCAGGGTTACGGGACAGACTGCACTAGCATGTTCCAGGATAACGTCGGAGGAAAGAGGCATATCATCCCAAACTCTAATTTAGCACTTTAAACCCAGTCTGTGCACTTTTCCCAAGGGACTCAGACATTCTCACATCCCCCAGAGCCTTCTGAGGCTTCAGAGATGTGCTATAGTGATAGCTCTACCTGAATTTTAGGCAACTTAGAAAGGGGTGGGGGAAGATGTGATATGATACATTAGTTTTAATTTACGGAGGATGGGGATGTGAACTTTGTTCTCCCATGGATGGAAAGGCAATCCTGTGGGTGAAACACATGATGCCTTTGTGTCAGCTTTCTTACTGTGAGACAGCCTGTGAAAATTTAGTCTGTGTTTAAGTAGAGCGAGTTGCTGTAGCTTAGACTGAATAAGAAGATAAGAGGAACCTGAAATGAAAAATTGGAGACCCCTAGTTGGTCTTGATACAGGAACGCTTTTCCTCTGTGGTGGCGTGTGCAGGATGTGTGATGACCCGAGTAACGGTGACACATAGGTGCTCTGTCACACTGGACTGCTAGTGATGTGAAAGAACTAGCAAATTCTTCAAAGTGTTTTCTCCTTCCCATGAACAGGTTTTCTTCTGTTCCAGGGTTGGGCAGCAGGTAGTATTCATTTATTTGGTCCATTTTATGGTGTCCCAGAGAATTCTCATGTGCTCATGGACATGTCTCTGCTACTGATGAGGAGCACAAGGCACAAAAAAGTAAAAGTTAGGCAGGTGGTAGGAAGGAGAGCTGTAAATAGAAGCAGCATGTCTGTACCAGTCCTTATTCAACAGCCGTCCCCTTAGGTTGGTTCTTTATGATGGTGTCAACTAACTCTTGTGTCTTGGTTTAATTCTGCAATAAGAAAGCTAAGCACAATGTGGCTGCAGGGAAAACATCCTTTTCCTTGCACACTTATGACACTGTGACCTATGGCATAAGGTGAAGATTATTACTGAAATAAGATGCCTAGCATGACCGAGAGACCCTGCCTGCTGAAAATGAGGCTGGGAGGAAGAGACAGGAGTCATCTTCCCTGGGAGCCCAGAAAGAGCGAGAGGAGCAGCTATGTCTGACGAGACACTGCTTGGGAGTTGTTAGATCCCTTGAAGATGCATAAAGCCATTCTGGGGGAATAAAGAGATTTTGGTGAAGTGTATTTGTTTGAGAAGGTT